CTTCCGGCATATCAGCCACTCCTCCCAGTTTTGTGTCATCAGCAAACTTGCTGAGGGTACGCTCTGTCCCCTCGTCCAGGTCATTGATGAATAAATTGAACAAGACTGGGCTGAGTACTGAGCCCTGGGGAACTCCACGAGCTACTGGCCTCCAACCAGACTCAGATATTTCAGAAATGCCCAAGGATGACGGCAACTGGCTCAAGCAAGTGATGCTCAGCTGGAAGCATTGGCCGGTGACCCCTAAAAATGTTTCCCATGGCGGGTGCTGGTCCCCTGGGGATGGGGGAGTGGGTGGGGGAGACCGGTCGGTGCCGTTTACCTGCGATCCAGGTCTGAACCGTTTGGGGAAGAATCAGAACGCAAAGCTCCAGGTGGAGGACCTCTTTCCTGGTGGGACATGGAGGTGAAATATTTGCCAGGTGAGGAAGGAGCCCCCCCAAAAAACCACTCATCCCCTCCCTCCAACCTGTTACCGGCTCCAGCATCCTCTGGACAGTGGGAGGAGGAGAAAAGCTCCTAAGAAATGTTAATTTTGGGGGAGATTAGAGAAAGGCCCCAGCAGCCCCTGCTAGCAGCACTTGAGGACAGAGTCAATGAATGATTACGTTAAATCTTGATGGCCTCACGATGCAACCTGGTGCCGACCTGGAATACGCTCGCCCAGATTTATTCCGAATTTTTGCGGTCGCGGCTGGCTTTGCGCCAGCTCACATAGGATGCCTTGGGCAGAAGGTTCAGGCAAACTGAACACATCTGCTCTTTCACAGCCAAGATAACACTGCCAACAAGCTCAGCATCCCCTGCTTTTGGGGGCTCAAAACCTTCCCAAATATATATATTTTTTAAAAAAAATCCCCATCAGCATCAGCTCAGGGGGAAGACCCAGGAGAGGCCTGGCTTCCTGGCCACCTGCAGCAACAAATTACTAGCAGCACTGAGCTTCCTGCATCATAGAATCATAGAATCATGGAATGTTTTGGGTGGGAAGGGACCCCTAGAGGTCACCCAGCCCAACCCCCCTGCAGGAGCAGGGACACCTTGAACCACATCAGGTTGCTCACAGCCCCGTCCAACCTGGTCTGGAATGGTCCCAGGGATGGGGCCTCCACCCCCTCTCTGGGCAACCCCTGCCAGGGTTTCACCACCCTCACTGGAAAGAATTTCTTCCTTAGATCCAGTCTAAAACCCACTTTAAATACAGCAAACCCTCCTCCCCACTTCGGCGGGATGGCTCCAGGCTGCGTCTTTGAGCGGGGTTAGTGGCATCGGTGGCCGAGTGGACCCTGTTGCGGGGGGGTTAGGAAGCGGTTGGGAATGCGAGGGAAGCTCCTGAGCTCTTTACTTACGGCTGAGGCAATGGGGGCCCCCGTTTCGGGGCTGCGATGGCAGGGGCTCCATGGGGATCTTAATGACTGAGGGAGGTGGGAACTGGGGAAGAAAGGGGGGAAATATGGTGAAGGCAGCGCCTGGCTGGGCTCCGAGACCACCTGGAGCACCCAAAGGGACCCAAAACTTCCAGAGGTGGGTGCATAACGAGGAAGAGGAGGAAGCTTTGCCTTCCTCTTCTCAAGTAAACTCTCAGCCCTTCTGCCCGGGGAAGGGTCTGCAGCAGGGGGTTCCATGGGTTAGCGATGCTTTGCCACCATACGATGGGTGCCATACCCTTAGCTGTGGGATTTTGGCTCTTTTCCCTAAGGATTTCATTTTTGCCACCATTTTCCAGCTGTCTGGACACTTTGAGCATTCCCTGGAGCCTCCGGCCAGCCCCCAAGCATCACTTAAAGCCCCTCAATCAGCCAGACCTAGCCACACAGAGAAACCCCTCCATGAATCAGACCTTCATCCCAAACCCACCGACCTGGAGGCTTCAGTGGGACCTTCCCCTCCCCAGCCAGTCCAGGATGTCCCCCTCATCCATGGGAGCCCCCCACCCACCCCACACCCACCTCTTCATCGCTGCTGCTATCTCCTTTGTTGCCTTTTTTCTTCTTCTTCTTGTCATCCTCCTTCTTCTTCTCCTTCTCGGGGATGATGTTGTCAATCCAGGCCAGGTCATGTTGGGAGAAGACAAAATCCAGCAGCCGCCTCACCAGGATCAGGGCTAAAATCTAGGAGGGGAAGAGATACAAGAGTTGGATCTGCAAGAGCATCTCTCATCCCAAGACCTGAGGACCACCATGGGACCAAGCCAAAATGTCCTTGAATCTCAAAAAAACCTTTCAGATGAGGCTGCAATAGCAACCTGGGGCATGGCCTTACCATGACGGGGAAGATGATGGCGGCCACAGTGGATTTGAGGATCCAGAGGATGGCCAGGCAGACGATCTGCACCAGTGTGAAGAGGTGGATGCGGCGCAGTGGCACATGCCGGAGGAAGACGTAGTCGGGTTGATGCTTGGCTGGCATGAGGAAGAGCTTGCAGCGGTCCCAAAACTGTGGTGGGACGAAGGCCGTTGTTAGCCCTTGGCCCTGTTCCCTGAGCTCCCAGGTTGCCCAGATAAACCCTCTTTTAGCCCCCAAAATGGGGAATTTGGGGCTTTTTGATGTTTCTCAGAGGGTCCTGGATATCTGCTGTCCCCTGCAGCTGGAAATGTTGCGTGTATGCAAATTTTAGGGTCAAAATCCCCCTTTTTGCCCCAGCGTAGGACCCCTTCATGGCCATTAAGGAGGAAGAGGAGGAGGAGGAGGAGCGCTTACCTGGATGCCGTTCAGCGACGCGACGCCCATGTACAGAAAGACGCCGTACAGCACCGGCATGGGGATGTACTGGGGACAGGGAAAAAACAGGGCGCTTACCCCAAGGAAGGTGGCAGCTCATTCCCAGGGACGGGGACCAACGCTGGGGGCCATGGAGGGGGGGAGAAATCCAGCTTTTTCTTCCCAGGTCCCCAAATATCTGCAGGGAGGGAGCAGGGATGGGGGAACGGGAATGTTTTACCTTCAGGATAGGGGCCAGGAAGACAGAAATCCCCGTCAGCACGAAGACGATGATGCCCGTTACTCTCTGCTCCCTGGAACAGCGAGAGAAGCAGGATGAGGCTGTGCTG